TGTTGATGCCGCCCCAGTACATTATGCATTTCTGCGGAATAGGGTAAGAAAACCAAAATGTGTCTCACTTTTTATGTCATACATATCTATTTGGGGCATTCTTTATGCTGGTTTGAGAGAAATATGTCAAGATAAATGCAATGCTAACACTCCTAAAATGGTTTAGGAAATCATTCCACTTGAAGGCCTAAATCTGGATGACATCCAACCAGGAAGATATAGTCTCCATTGCCTCCCTCTAAAGATGGTTGGTGCTGATGGATGTCCAACAAGATGCATTCTCATTTAAGATAGAAACTTTGGTTGAGAAGTAACTCTAAAGCAAGGCTATAAAATTGTTCCAGGAGATGAATAATAGCTCCAGAAGGTATAGAATGGATCAAACTGCTTCTGGACATCTGTGTGCTTATATTTGAATCCATCGAACCTTTGTAAGAAGCTAGTATCTTACAAAGGTTGATGTCCGGCAGGACAAAGTCTGGGGTATCACCGGGATACCACTGACGTGGTATCCCGGTCCAATTAAAAACCCCCCACATCACCTTTTTTTTAGCACCTCATCAATCAGCAAATGGAGGGGGAAACAAACGGCAAACCCAAATTTAACTCACGGCAAATTTAATTAACGGAAAATCTTTCCAAAATGAAATTCTCTGCAGACTTTTTTTTCAGCATTTAACTCACTGCAATTTTTCCAAAATAAAATTTGTTTCCCGCTTTTCCCGCTTCTCTCATTTTATTTCTCTTTTTCATTTCATTATTTTTGAGACTTTTGGTATTACAATCAATTATAGGCAAAAGTACAAAAGTACAAAAATATTTATATTAAAGATTTTCTCTGTTTCATCTAATTTGCTCTTCTTTTATGAATCAAAAAATGGACCTCTATCTTTTTGATTTTTTTCCAAAGGAGGTTTGCTTTCCATTCCCTTATGCTTTAGGTAATTTTATTGTGAATTGGATTTATGTTCTTTTTTTTGTAATTGGTTATGATAAACATTATAAATTTTTTAATTTTTTAGAATTACAAATGATTTTATCTACAAATACCCTTTATGACTTTTGAGATTGGAAGTTCTTCATTTGGCTTTTTTAATGGCATGCATTATTTACTCATATTTAGATAATAATATATTTCAAGAGCTAAATTTATACTAAAATAACATTCTTTGATTAAAACAATGAGCTTTTATTAAAAATATGAGCTTTTATTAATAATAAAATAATATACATAGCAATTCTCTTAAAAAAAATACAAGAAAATTTTCTTGTGAAAATGATACAAGATAATTTTTTTGACAAAAGAAAAAAAGAAAAAACAAAGCAATTCTTGAATCTTGATGTTCCCATTTTGTTTTTCTTCCAATTGTCAATGTGCCATGGCTAACTCCCTGAATGGGATTTCCTAGATAATGAAAAGCTAACTTCTTTGAACTTTACATCTTAGTCCCATTCTCAATCTATATGTCATTGGTTTGAGGGTTTATAGGTTGCTCAGCTAACCAAAAATCAATGACCTGCATAGTAAACAAACTAAAAAAATTGACAAGAAAAGGCAAGAATTTCATCTTCTAATGTTATGGATGCAAGTTACATATTATCACCAATGGCATAGAAAAGGCACGCTAAACCTATCTCCAATCAAGATGATATTTAGACTCAATAAAGCATCAATAAATAGAGTTATCCTAGCCAACAAAGAATGTCCCGTTGATGCTATAAGTCAGGAAATACAACAAAAACACAGGAATTTTGTGAAAAAGAACAAAATCTTCCTCAAGCTTGCTTAACCATTGTCCCCTTGTAAGTAATCTTAACTCAGGAAATACATCAAACAGTTGGTGGGCATGAAAAATGTTTAATTTCTTATAACTAGTTATAACTATTCTTCCTTCAACCAAATCAACCAAATGAACCAAAAAGCATACATCCACAAATTGCACAAGCAAAACTTAGCAATTGCAAATTATTAATTAAAAATAGCTATACCCAAGCAAGAGAAAATAGTTAGTTTCACCAAGAAACTTAGCAATTGCAATCTCAAATTGCAATAGCTATGACCGCTGAGTCTCTACATGCTGTGAAGAGAAGAATATGGTAGCTGTGTTCAAAAATAAAATTAGAAAGAAAAAAAAATGATAAAGGAAAAAAGATGCTAAAGGAAGGGCTGGGGAGATGCCGAAGAAAAAGAAGTGCTGAGAACTTTATTTTGAAAAGATTTGCCTGTGAGTTAAATTCGCCGTGAGTTAATTTAGTTTTGCCATTTGTTTTCCTCGTTATCTGATTGATGAGGTGTAAAAGAAAAGGATGAGGTGTAAAAGAAAAGGGTGATGTGGGGGGTTTTTAATTGGACCGGGATACCGCTGACGCGGTATCCCGGTGATACCCCAAACTTTCTCGTCCGGCAACCATGGGTGGTGGAGATTCACAGTTATACTTATGAATTATGTTGAGCTTCGATTTTGTGGGCATTTGTTGTGAGCTAACGAACAGATTTCTTGGCTATATAAAACAAAACAGGTCATTGGCTACGTACTACTTCAAACTAAGGTTTCATTTCGTCGGTGATGTTTTGTACCGTGCTTTATATATTCTTTTCTACTAATCTTCCGCTATTTAAAAAAGTTTAAATACTAATTTTGGCCCCTCAACTTAAGGTTTTATACAATTTTCATTTCTTAATTTTTTTTATACTTTTTTAATCCCTTAACTATGAAAAATGTATTTTTTAGTCCTTCCGTCAATTAATCTATTAAAACTATTTTTAGTTCCTCAACTTCTGATATATGCATATTTTTTATCCTTCAATTTAAAGTCAAGAGGCTAAAGATTTGTAAATTTAGATAAATTTAACGGATAAGCTGATGAAAGACTAAAAAAATATATTTTTTATAGTTAAAGAATAAAAAAAGTACAAAAAAAAGTTGAGAGATAAAAATTATGTAAAATTTTGAAGTTAAGGAATCAAAATTAACATTTAACCTTTAAAAAATCACATTAATTTTAACTAATTTAAAATTGAATTACATTAAATTTTATAAAGAGAAAGCTTTTCCCACATTTATTTTTTGATTTATAAAACTTCAACCAATAAATCATTGGTCTCATACTTTATATATAAAAATTATGTCATTAATAAAATATTTACATAAAATTTAATTAAAATTAGTATAAATTTACATGTTTTCAA